TTCTAAGCTGATAGCACGCCAGACCGCGTTATCTTGTCGTCAATGCCGACGAGGGCGAGCCCGGGACGTGCAAGGACCGGGAGATTTTGCGCGGGGACCCGCACAAGCTCGTCGAGGGCTGCCTCGTCGCCGGCCGCGGCATGAACGCGACCGCCGCCTATATCTACATCCGCGGCGAGTTCATCCAGGAGGCCCAGCACCTCAGCCAGGCCATCGCCGAGGCGTACAAGGACGGCCTCATCGGGCCGAACGCGTGCGGCAGTGGCTACGGCTTTGACGTGTACGTCCACCGCGGCGCGGGCGCGTACATCTGCGGCGAGGAGACGGCGCTCATCGAGAGCATCGAGGGAAAGCAGGGCAAGCCGCGCCTCAAGCCGCCGTTCCCCGCCGATGTCGGCCTCTTCGGGTGCCCGACCACCGTCGCGAACGTCGAGACCGTTGCGGTCGCGCCGACGATCTGCCGCCGCGGCGCCCCCTGGTTTGCGGGCTTTGGGCGCGACCGCAACCAGGGGACGAAGCTGTTCTGCATCAGCGGGCATGTGAACAACCCGTGCGTCATCGAGGAGGAGATGAGCATCCCCCTACGCGAGCTCGTCGAGAAGCACTGCGGCGGCGTGCGCGGTGGGTGGGACAACCTCCTGGGCATCATCCCTGGCGGCTGCTCCGTGCCCGTGCTCCCTATTAAGAAGTGCGAGGAAGTGCTGTGAGTACTGCCCGTCGTCGCCTTGCATCCCGTCTCTCAATCATGCGGCAGGATGGACTACGACTCGCTCAAAGACGCTCAGTCGGGTCTCGGGACGGGTGCGGTCATCGTCATGGACAAGTCTACCGACATTATCGCCGCCATTGCGCGCTTCTCCTCGGTAAGCATGCATACTTCCTTCACCCCCCGCCCCTCACACTCTCACAGTTCTACAAACACGAATCCTGCGGCCAGTGTACGCCGTGCCGGGAGGGGACGACCTGGATGATGAACATGATGAACCGCATGGTCGAAGGGCGTGGCCATCGGCGCGAGATCGACATGCTCCTGGAGCTGACGTGCGTTCTCTCTTGCCTCACATAAAAGAACAAGCTAACGCCCGCACAGCAAGCAAGTCGAGGGGCGCACGATTTGCGCGCTCGGGGACGCGGCGGCATGGCCCATCCAGGGCCTCATGCGGCACTTCCGGCCTGAGGTCGAGGCGCGCATCGATGCGTTCCGGGCGCAGCACGGGAACGTCGCGTTTGGGGGGAGGCTCGCGAGCGAGGTGGACGATACACTGGCCGTGCCCGATAACTTGGGCGTTAGATTACCTATCGAGGCACCGGGGACTGTATGAGAAAAATGATACTATTTTCCCCGATTGTAAGCTGGTTTGAAGCTTGGTGTCCTTGCGGCGATGCATATGGTGTGTGCGAGGTGCGCTAACCACACGTAAGCCTGCATTACTTGATTATTTATTAATGGCGCAGAAGTTTCACCCCCGAATACCGATGGGCGGTGGTACATCGACAGCGTACCTTATTTACTGTGGCGAGTACTACTGACAGTATTCCTCGCTTTGACCACGTCAATATTTGGATAATCTCCCACGGTCGCCCGGGCCGGATCGATCGCATTGTAGACAATCGCACCACTCGACATAATTTACTAATCTGAAATCTCCCTATGCCCTCTGTTCCCTCAACATCCCCAGCGACAGGCCAGCCGACGGGGGCCTCATTCATACACACAACTGACTGCAGCTTCGTCGACAACGCTGGTCGCACTCTCCTCTTGCGTGGCGTCAATCTCTCAGGCTCTTCAAAGGCACCCGTAGACAGACCATCGTATATTCTTGACGGTTTCTGGGAGGCCGCAGAGAATGGCGGCGAATCTTTTGTCGGCCGACCTCTCAATATTGACGATGGCTCCGCTGACGTCCATCTCGCACGACTCAGCGGCTGGGGATTCAATATGCTCAGATTTCCGGTTACCTGGGAGTCACTGGAGCACGAGGGACCGTGTGTAGCCGACTCTCTTCGTAATTCCTTTGCTAATTGGCACTAGGGGCAAATACGATTATGATTTTATGGACTACACCGTTAGGGTCCTGCGGAAATGCAAAGAGTATGGCTTCCGCGTGTATATGGACCCGCACCAGGATATTGTACGTTTCCCTGTAATTTTTGGTCCCTAAATTTTAATACTTTCGACAGTGGTCGCGCTTCTCGGGCGGCTCGGGCGCGCCCTTCTGGACTCTTGCCGCCTGCGGAATAAATCCCCGCAACTTTACCGCTACGCAGGCTGCCATCGTGCACTGCGAATATCCCCTGGCGCACGCCCCCGATCCCGCATCACTCCCCGCCATGATTTGGTCTACCAACTATGGCCGCCTCCTCTCCCAGACCCTTTTCACCCTCTTCTTTTCCGGCCGTGACTTTGCCCCGCGCTGCGTAATCGACGGCCAGAATATACAGGACTACCTCCAGAGCCATTACATTGAGGCTATGGGTCAGATGGCCGACCGCATCCGCGCCGCGGGCGACCTCCTCGATGACTGCGTTATCGGCTGGGACAGCATGAACGAGCCCTTCGAGGGGCTCTGTGGCTGGACCGACCTCGCGGTCAACCCGCCCGCACAGGGCTCGACTCTGCGGAAAGGAACGTACCCGACTCCGGCTCAGAGTCTGCGCCTTGGGATGGGCCAGCCGCAGACCGTGGAGAGCTGGTCGTTCAGCGCGTTCGGCCCCGCACGCGACGGTTCCGTCACCATTGACCCCAAGGGCCGCTCCATCTGGGCGCCGCCCGAGGACGAGCCGGGGCGCACACACCCCAGGTATGGCTGGACGCGGGCTGCGAGCTGGGCGCTAGGGACGTGTCTGTGGGCTCAGCACGGCATATGGGACGTCGAGACGGGGTACATCATGCTGCCGCACTACTTTCATACGCTCCCCGGGGCGGACGAGCCTGTCGAGTTCATTGAAGATTATTGGCGCCCGCATTTCGAAGCTTTTGCACGCCGCATACGGTCCGCGCACCCCGAGGCGATCCTTTTCGTGCAACCGCCGGTATTCACACGCCCGCCCACACTCGAGGATAGTGTGCTGGCCGGCCGCGGCGCATATTCTGGACATTACTACGACGGCCTCACTCTCATCACCCGACACTGGAACTGGTTCAACGCGGACGCGCTTGGGCTCCTCCGTGGAAAATACCGCTCGACTCTGCAAGCCGTCAAGATTGGCGCACGCGCGATCCGCGCCTCGCTGCAGGACCAGCTCGGGATTCTCAAAGGCGACGCGCTGATCCTGGGATCATTCCCCACCGTCATCGGTGAGATTGGCACGCCATTCGACATGGATGCCAAGCGTGCGTATTACGGTGACAAAAACGGGCGTGGCGTCGGTGATTACAGCCAGCAGGAGAAGGCGCTCGATGCGAGTCTGAATGGCGCGGACGGCCCCAACGCTCTGAACTGGACAGTATGGACGTACTGCGCCGACTCGACACACGAATGGGGCGACGGGTGGAACATGGAGGATTTGAGCCTGTGGAGCGAGGACGACATGCGCACGCCGAGGGGAGCGATCTATACTATGCGTGCTGGCAGCACGGCTACAGGTGTATACGGGAGCGAGTCGGGGCTGTTGAAGAAGCCCTTCAACGGCGTGTCTACGACTGTCACTGCGGCCACGTCCTCGCTCTCGCTTCCCAGTCGCACGGGCGCCGAGGCCGCGGGCTGGCGCGCCAACCCGTACGACTTTCTAACCGACGGCGCACGCGCGGTACGCGCCTTTTGCCGCCCGTGGCCCGTCAAGCTCGTTGGCACGCCTACCGACATCGTGTTCGATATACCCACCGCGCACTTCAAGCTCGTGGTGCGCGTGCGGGCGGAGGACCGTCTGCGGCCGGGCGCGGTGGAGGAGGAGGACCCCGCGAGCGAGGTGTTTGTCCCGCTCGTGCATTACGCGGACGCGCGGCTGCTACCAAGCCCCAGCGATGCGGAGAGTTTCGCGAGCTTGGACGAGGACCGCAGCCATCGGCGCAGCGCGAGCGGCAAGGCGAGCACGAACGCGTCGACGCTGAACCTCGAGTCGATGCCCGTACTACATGGCGAGCCGGACACCATGACCGCAAGCACGAGTAGTGGGAGCACGGGGACTCATGTCGGCGTGGACCTGCGTGTGGGTGCGGAAAAGGGAAGGGAGCTCGTAGACGTCGACGTGCAAGTGAGTGCCGGGCGCTGGGAGATTGAGGGCCAGGTGCTGCGCTGGTGGTACGATGTGCCTGGGTCCGGCGAGCCCGAGCGCGAATACACGATGGAGATTCGGCGTCGCGCAGGGCCGATCGAGGCCAAGGCAGCAGGGTGGATGGAGGGCCTGTGTCCGACGGAGGGGTGTATTGTTATGTAGCATCGGCTGGACTTTTTTTCTTTACATGCATATCATCTTGTTGATACTTATCACATTTGGAATCATGCGTGCACTTGTTCAAGTTACAGAATATCAAGTTGTGTCACAGTCATGTGAATAGACTCGTAACCCGTCTGCCGCGGCATCTCTAAGTGCAAGCACTTTGCCGCAGGCAGACTGGTACAACTCGGGACAAACAATTGGCCTGAGCGAGGAGTTTGAAATTTTGAGTGGCGCCGATCACGGCCATCAGATGCATTTCCAAATGCCATCATTTCCCAATGTAAACTCGGACGTTTCATGCACCATCCCGGTAGGCCATAAAAAAATCTGAAGAGACAGATTTTAAGATATACAGCTATATATTCTTGCTTTCCTTTTGAGTTTTCACCCTGCCTTCAAATCCAGCCCAGAACACGAGAGAAGGAAAAAGTATAAACTCCGCGCGCAGGCCAATCGATCAATCCGAGATGTACCAGTCTGCCTGCGGCAAACTGCTTGCAGTACCTCAAATGCCGTAGCGCAGACTGGTGACGAGTCTATCATGTGAAGGTTGCAGCCTGACGGTTCACCTTAAATGATTATTAATGGATCTGGTTGTTGGGGACGCCTATCTCTTCATCGGCCCAATGGTCTAGACGTATGATACACGCTTCGGGTCGTTCCCGTAATTCGATTACGCAACTGTGTGTGGTCCCGGGTTCAATTCCCGGTTGGGCCCATATTTTTATCCTTTTTAGGGTACGTTTTCTGTGCAGGTGATCCTACAGCCTCCGAACTCAGCACTCGAATATACTTTGTCTGGCCCTGCGTTCATCCATCTTATTGCTTGATTTATTCAGACAATTGATTCAATATGCATTGTTGTTCCCCCCCAAAAAAAAACAACCTCCATTGGGTGGCGGTGCTAGCAAACCACAACAAACAACGGTCTCCAGGGTTTGACTTGGGCAACAATTCCTTTGTATTAATCCCTCGTCATCTGCCCTGGAGAGCTGAGAAAGCAGTGGGGAGCCATGTTGGCTGAAAATGCTTTCAGCTTGCAAGATGCTGTCTTATGTGACGACGTGGTAGCGCACATGTTGTTCTCGAGCCCAAATTGCCTCAAATCCATCCTCAAAAAACCATTCATTTGGGGTCTCAAAAGTCCACTTTTGGACAAGGGCAGTCATGTGAAATTCAAATTTTCACCCAAATAATTGGGATGAAACCTGCGGTGCATCTGGCGACGCACAAGTGTGGGTAGCACACTGAGGCAACAGATTTAGTACCCATAGTCTGGCCAAGTGGTTAATTGTATTTCTGCTCTTTCGTCAGATCACTACAGCTACAGTGCTGAGGTGGTCACCTCGTGTCCTTTTTTTTTTATGCAGTCGGACCTCAAAAAGCCACTTCTTGGCAAGGCCACTCAGATCTCAGTCTCAAAAAGCCACATTTTGGACAACAGAATCGCAAAATTTTGGCCTCCAAAAGCCACTTTTACGGACCATCCTTTGGTGAGGCTTCTCGGGGCCTTGTTGGTGTAATTCAATACGAGACCTATACACAGACAGCATCTCATTTCTACTCTGGGAAGCGCTCGCAATGTTCCAATGTCTGAAAGTCTGGCAAAAGGCTTTATAGACGAATTCAAAAATCGCACACACTGGCCAAGGATTGCTTTATCAAAACTTTGACAGACCTCATGACAACATTTTGTTATATCCCTGCAACATCCCCAGCCCTCACGTCGACCCTCCGGTACTTCAGGTAGGCTCAGAGGCTCCAGTCATATACTGGAGCCTCCGGACCATCCGGTATCATTGAAATTTTACGCAATGAAGGATTACTGAGCGTTTCCCGTTTATCCGTCTTTCCGTCTTCTCACTTATTGTTCTACGACTCAACATCAGTCCTCCTGACTTGTCTTATTGTTAAGAACCACCCTCCTTCCTTTTGTGGAAAACAATTAGCTACTTAGTATAAATATGTCTTTAATATGTCATGTATGTCAGATTGATAATTAATGTTGCTTGGCTCACTTCCTTGCACTGAGTCGTCTCCACACTCTCCGGTCCCCTCCGGTGCTCCGACTTGTCTTCCTCTATCGGATACCTGCCGGCCAGGGTAGTCACTCACCCTTAACCTCCTGTGGTGTTGTGATCCCTCTTCGTATACGTTCTGGACCCTCCGGCCCTCCGACGCTCCGGCATACCGGAGCCTCCGGTCCTTCAGCCTTCATCCTTCGGTCCACCCCGGCTCAGTATATAACAGTATTATCAATCTCGCTACTCTGACTGGCAATGTCTCGCATTCCTAATCCAAATCTACTGTTATATGTCGAGTTAAGACAAGGCCGATGAAGTCCGACCTCGGAGTTCGCGGTTTCTCGCAACACTACAAAGAATAGAGTGAGCAACTATTCAGGTCCGCAGTTCCGCACAAGACTATAAGTCCGGAGTCACGGAGTTCGGAGTTGAAGTCCGAAATAGAGAATGAAGGCAGAGGCTCGACCAACGCTGAGATAGCGAAGAACAAACAATAATCAAACTGAAGTACAAAACATAACTAACTAGCTTTTAAACTAAGCACACTATTGTCTATTGAATACAATAGCGTGTGAGTTATTTGTAAGTTAGAAATGCAAAATAATAAGGTGCCAAGATGACTTAGTAAGACTTAACAATAAGAGACCTCAGGCTTGGTAAGGAAGCCCAAAGAAGAAGACGGAACAGACAAGAAGGCGTCGGTGTAATGTAAGTCCGTTGGCCCGATGAGTCAACCATGCTTAGAAGGGAAACACTCAGTAGACCTTCATAGCGTGAAAACCCTTCTCGGAAATTGCCAGACCGGGCCGGCTGGTCCGATAATGCACGGATATAACATCTACCCCCAACACGGAACAAATTGAACGTTCCTGTATTGGACTTCGCCAGAGGGAAACCGGAGCAACAACCGGAGCATCTGGTCGATGATGGAGGAAGAGCCGTCGAGATACCGGATCCGGACCGAGTCCACCGTATACGTGGAAAATTATTAGATTCACAGACTTTCAATGATACCAAACAATGAGACGATCCGGAGTCCACAAGCGCACGCACACGGGAGTTGAATCCCGCGACTACTCGAGAGAGAAGAGATGGGGAAATGGAAGAACATAGTTCCGGCTCGGAGATGTCCGACCGGAGGGAGGAAATATCGAGAGAGACATAAAGGGCATTGGGAAAAAGAGCGGAAGCGTTGAGACGAACCTCGGTGAGCACCCGTGAGTCAACGCAACTTGGACCAGGTGCAAAGGATTCCGAGTTGCTGATCAATTTTTTGACTCAGCAGCTGCGGTGGCTGGCGCAGCCAGAGCCGCAGGAGTCTGGGTGGTCGTACCGGAGGTCGAGGCCTGGGCGGCCTTGGCGCTAGCCTGCCCAGGAGGCTTGTTGCAGTTGTCGGTGGTGTGACTCTTGCCTCCGCAGTACATGCAGAGGTTGTTGTTCCGGCGGCGCTCGCGTTCGTCCTGCTTGATCTTCCCGCTGGCATTGAGCTTGTCGGCGTAGGCGCGAGCGGCAGGAGTGGCATCGGACGACTTGGCCTTGCCTTTACCCTGGTTACCGGAGCATCTGGCGTTGTTACTGGAGTTTCCAGCAGTCACAGCGGTAGAGGAGGGCACAGGAGCATTGGAGGATTTGGAACTCTTACCGGAGTTCCGATTGCCGGGTTTAGGGTTGCCAGATTGACCTCTGGTAGCGTTACCGCCACCGGAACCGGAGGGTTTGTCGCGTTCACGCTCCCAGAGCTTTTCCGCCTCGTGTTTCCAGTACTGGCCATCAATGGTGCAAGCGACCAGCTTCACTCCATCGAGGGTGTTGGCATAGTCGTGACGAACCATGTTGTCCTTGATCCGACGGGGAAGTCCTTCGTAAAACTGATACCGGAGGGCATTATCGCTCCACTGGGTCAAGACCGAAAGGAAGTCGAACTTGATGATGTAAGTGGTGATCCGGTCGCCGGATTTCATCCAGCACGTGCGAATCTTGTCCTCAGCATCCCCACCCGGATCATGCAGCCCGAAATTAAGCGTAAGTTCCTGAATAAAGACGGCAAAGTTGCCGTCCCAGACTGGAATGATGGTCAGGTCGTAAAGGTTGGGGAAAAATCATTGCTGAGCGCTGCCCTGGAGGTACAAAATGATGTAGAGGATACGATCATTGTCGTCCGGAAAGTCTTGCAGGCGCTCCGCAAAGTGCAAATAGCACTGAGTGAGGAAGGACGAAAGTTTAGCCGGGTCCGATCCATCAAAGGTGTCCGGATTATGGAGATTGGATCGGTTGGAATGAGGAGGAGGGTCCGCGGGATGAGCATTGAACACATTGAGAGCATCCCAGAAGGTCCGGAGGGTGTCCATAATCAAAGCATCGCTGGCGTCAGGTGTCTGAGCGCAGCAAGGAGCACGAGGTATACCAGGACCTCCTCCAGGTGGACTGCCAGAAGGGCCTCTGGGTGGACCTCCTGGACCACCAGGACCACTGGGACCGCCGGGACCTTCGGGACCACCTCCGGGGGGGCCGGGCGGTAGACCAGCACCACCACCTCCACCACCACCACCATTACCACCACCATCACCATCGCCTCCATCGCCATTGTCACTGCCCCCGTCATGAAGGGAAGGAGCAGGATCGCGTTTGGGAAGGTCCTCCGATAGGTGAAGGCTACAGGGTCGACTACCGGAGTGAGTGGAAGGTTCCGGAGTGTGTCGGGGACTCTCCGGAACCTCGACAATACGAGGACCAGCGATGGGAGATGCACTGCGGGAGAATACTGCAGCGCAACGTGGATGGGGGGAGGTAGGATACCTGACAGGATTTTCCAGTGTCCGGGGGTTGAGAACTAACCCCGGAAGGGTTGCCAGAGAAGGCACAGGTGGCGCGGGTGAGCTCCGAGTAAATTGTGGAGCGTAGCAAAGAGTGGGCGATACCGGAATGGACGGGTACATCGATGGACCGAGAACTTGGACCGGAGTACTCATCGGAACGATCTGGCTGAACATATGGGATTCTCGGTGAGGTTCCCGATCAGTCCGACCAGTGCTGGAACGTTCAATTTGTTCCGTGTTGGGGGTAGATTTGGATTAGGAATGCGAGACATTGCCAGTCAGAGTAGCGAGATTGATAATACTGTTATATACCGAGCCGGAGTGGACCAAAGGATGAAGGCCGAAGGACTGGAGGCTCCGGTATGCCGGAGTGTCGGAGGGCTGGAGGGTCCGGAACATATACGAAGAGGGATCACAACACCACAGGAGGTTAAGGGTGAGTGACTACCCTGGCTGGCAGGTATCCGATAGAGGAAGACAAGTCAGAGCACCGGAGGGGACCAGAGAGTGCGGAGATGACTCAGTGCAAGGAAGTGAGCCAAGCAACGTTAATCATCAATCTGACGTACATGACATATTAAAGACGTATTTATACTAAGTAGCTAATTGTATTCCATATAAGGAAGGGGAGTGGTTCTTAATAATAAGACAAGTCAGAAGGACTGATGAGAATTCGTATGACAATAAGTGGAAAGATGGAAGGACAGATAAATGGGAAACGCTCAGTAATCCTTCATTGCGTAAAAACCCGATGATACCGGATGGTCTGGAGGCTCTGGTAATGTACCGGAGCCTTGGAGCCTACCAGAAGTACCGGAAGGCTGACGAGCAGGCTGGGGATGTTGCATGGTGTTGTATGCAGAAGCTCAGATGGGTCG